AAGCAGGAAGCAAATGGGTAGAGAGCTCTGAGACAGAGGTCAGAGGGTGAACAACATTGAAATTCAGGGTCTCAGGAAAAGGAAATCCAGAGCAGGAAGTACTGACATGATTAGAGAGAGGATTTGAAAAGCCTGGAGCGGAAGATATTTTATTATAATATAAATACATTATAATAAATTGACCTTGAAAAAAAAGGACATCATTAAGGTGAAAAAGTTGGTGCCCAAAAATTTAGCCTGTTACAAAGGGAAGAGAATAGAAAACAGAATGTTGTAAACTTTTGAAATTTTAATTAGGAGTCTCAAATATTTCTCTTCTCCTTCCTCCATTAAACCTCCAAGTTCTGGAGTCACATGGTTGAATCTTAGTTTTCAGCAAAGGGAAAAAAATTCTAGCTGTCATGCTTGCAGAAAAAACTTTGAACATTCAAAGCCTAAAAAAACAGGATATAAACCCAAATATTAACTTATATTTTTTAATAAATCTCATTATTTGAATGCAATCTGTCTTGCAGTTTTTAGCATAAGGTATAGCATTAGTGAAAGCCTAGCATCTGCCTTCTAAGCAGACAGCAGCTAAAGATCCAAAAAAAGATCCCCAGCTGCTATCATAGTCATCATCAGCACATAATGACTGGCATGCTGGAATTGTGGGTAGCTCGTTTAAAGCTGTCACATATTCATGTGCTCTCTGTTTGACAGATTAACCCCTTCCCTAGGATGCAGGAGCACAGTCGGTGCTCCCTCCCCAGCATCCGATCCCGCTGTGCAGGAGAGCACGGCGATGGCTCCAGTGACAGCGCTCGCAGCTGGGGCTGCACACACGGCCACAGCAAGCCCTCAGCCTGGCACAGACACCGCCCCGTGCAGAGGTCCAGACAACTTTCTGTGTGATGTTCCGGCTACCTGATCAACAGCCCACTAGCTACTGCTTTGGGGAGTATTATTAAAAATTAAATAAGGATTTCAGGGCTTCTTCCCAGCACTTTTTCAAGCTCCCATGTGCATGAACAAGAAAATAAAGATTCGAGCTGGAATTTTTCCAGACATATGCAGAATAATTACTCTCCAGAAATTCTCTTTATCTTCATCCTTGTGGATTTGAATGCATGCTTGAGAAATCTCTCCCTCCTTTCATATTCATCAGAAGAGAGGACATAACAGTTACAATTAGCATACTCGAACCGAGTTGTAGATGTACCTACCCTACATTTAGTAATTTACCACTTTCCATTGATGCCACAACTGCCATCCCTTTCTAACTTCCACTCTCCCAACGGAGTAGATCAGAAACAAATGGCAGATATGCCAGATCAGTCAGAAGGGCTGTGTAGCTGCCAACAAATCCTTTGGCTGATTCAACCATTTTGTAATCATCTTACATTTCAGTGCACCGACTCAGCCAAAAAGCCCTCAGATCTGTGCGTCAGCCCCCACTACAAAAGAGCAAAATCTGAAGACCTGAACTATAATGGTGTTATCAACAGAGCTAGAGAAAGCATCCAAATTCTCACTTCTGTGCTAATAGCCCCACTCTGAAGAGAAATAAAAGCTGGGTTTGGGGGATGCCAAATGAAGTAGCCCTCAAAATAGATGGAGTATCTATTTATTCTACCACTTGGGGGAAGTGTAAAGAATGGAAATCTACAATAAAATTTACACATCCTTTCTTGCAGTTTTCACAGCTCTCCAGACATACCAGTAAACATTCATAGTCAATCCTATAAGAATCTATGCGGATTTAAATAGCTGCATAAACTCTGAATATTCATTCACAAGATACTTCTGAAACCATTTTGTCATACTGTTTCTTTTTAGTAACATAAGATTTGAAAAAGAACTGATGAAATACTTTGTATTTAAGAGATTTCTTACAGAAAGACCTACTAATTCGCTTTCCTCAACATTAATGCCTTCCTGAGAAGCACTGCCTGCTCCAAAGAAAGCTACAGTTCTTCCTCAGTAGCTTTCATCAGGCAGCAGGTTCAAGTTACAGGCTGTAACCTGCTCAGTTCTGAACACATCCAGAATGTTTGCATCGATGGATGAACAACTGCGAAAACGAGCCCTGGTAATATTAGTGAATTCTGCCTCAGAAAAAAATCACTTTTTAACAGGTATGCTCTGTGAAGAAGATAATGAAGTGACCTATGCAGTGCCTGACAGAATCTGGAACACCAACCATATCTCAGTCTAAAGAACTACACGACCTCAGTTTAATCCCTTCCCACTGTAGAGCCTTACCTGGTGTCTGAAATTCCTTGCCACTCCTGCTGGAGATGCAGTTCCACCATAGCTGCCTTCTGCAGCAGGATGAAATGCAAGCCACACACGACACACAGACACACGTGCAGTTTGGCTGCTGGTTTGTGACCACCACCTAAGGGAATGTGACTTCAAATTTCAAGGTCTTGTGGCCGTCAGGGAAACTTTTCCAGCTCACAAGAGAGAACGGGCACTTCCCATTCAAAATAATCTTGTTTCATTTGAGGGAAAAATTAAATGGGTGAATGAAAAGAGTGTTCTATACCTCCTTAGTTGCTAAATACAGGATTGAACCTAATAAACACTTCTCTAGGGTAAGGGCATCACCCTCTGTTGTTGGTGTTTTCCTTTTGTTTAAATCCACAGGGTTCCTCTTCCCCTCTTTCTCACGTATTCAAGATGAGAGAAGCTTCAGCGAGCACAGCTACCAGCATTCCAATTTATTCAGCAGCAACCCCTGTGGACTGCTAACAGCAGACTGCGATTCTGTTTGGATTACAAGGTGCAGATAAGTAATTCCATCCTTAATCTATCACTGTCAACGCTGGTAGGGGAACAGCTTATACCTGTGAGAAGTCAGGCAGAGGAAAAGATAGATTAGGTAAAAAAATATATTGTGGGGTAAAAGGACAGAAGAAATAGAGAGGATACAAATCCATTAAGAGTTCTGTGCACACATGCATGCAGAGGTAGGAAATGAGGGAATGGGATAAAGGAACAGGGTGCCAATATGAAAGCAGCAAGCAGGAAGGAGATATCCAGATTCCAAGCAAAAATTTTCAGTAGCAATGAAAATCTCACTTCCAACATAATCCATGCTTTCCATTGCAGTGATCCCAGTGTAAAATGCCAGGGATGTTTGTGACCTCAGTAACTGCTGATGGATACCACCACACTGCAGCCACGACCAATAAACCTCAAGCATATCATAATGGAGCCTCAAAGCCTTCGCTTGGAGACCTGTCTGTAAACTGGGGCAATATTACAAACAGACAACAAAGGATAATGCAAAGATTGCAAAAATGGAATGACGCAGAGACAAGTGAATTTCTCAGAGGATGGAGTGGAAGGCAGGAAAGATGAAAGAGGAGTTAAGCTATTTAGACATAAGAGATGGAGAACATCAATATCCCACATCTGTTTTATGTGAAGGAAGATTTGGGGATGGAAAACAGGGAAAATAATAATGAGACCTGGGATTAATTCTTCTTTCCCTTTTTAAAGGAACAGTAGTGGCTCCATCACTATGTTTTACAAGTCATCATCTGCAATTGAAGTCTGCCCACTCAGGCTAGTCAAGTCCCCTTCACGTTTTTATCACAGAAACAATGTTATTTTATGGGCATATAGAAGAGTCCTTTGATTCAGCTATAGGTTCTCACTGATTTTATGTTATTTGCTTGCCTGGCTAGACATGTCAAAGACAATTTATCCCAGAAAAGGTACAAGAGCTGCCTTCTAAGCAGTCACATTAAAATAAAATGTTGACATTAAAATAAAACTAGGAAAACTTTATTTTCGACCCTTGGAATGTCCAGTGTTATAACCCAAATTCAGATGCATTACTGATTATTCTGTTCTTCCCAAGCTTACTCACTGCTTCCCACAGTAGGCACATTCTGTGTTCCAGAATAAATAATCCCAAGTGCAGCCAAGCAACGTTTATACCCTAAAAAAGGTATGGATTGCTATTAATGGCATGCTTTCTGGTGGCACAGATCTTTCAAAGAGGTTGCAAGGAGGGGAAACCCAGGAAGCTTTGTGGTCTCCTTTTTCGGCTGCCACCCAAATCCACTCACTTGGACTGCTTAAGGAAGAGAGAAAATCAGTTCAAAGACTAATAATAGGGCATAGAAATAGTTTAATAGCAGCCCAGGGAGAGCTTAGTAGAAATATTTTTAAAATATGAAAAAAACCCAAATAAATTAATCTACTGCAGCGTGAAAGGCTACAAAAATTAACAAAAACGGCGGGGGGGGGGGGGGGGGGGAAGGAGAAAGCAACTAAGAAATCAGCAAGCAAGAGAACTTCCTCCGTGAGTACACTAACACGGCCAAACACAAGGAAAAGTGTGCACCGGAGCAAAGGAGAGCGGATCAGCTGCTGACGCGGCCAGCGGAGCGCAGCTCCACTCCCACAGGGCGACAGCGGCCTCACAGACCGCCCGTTCCCGCCGCGCTGACCCGGCTTCGTGGCCGACTTTAAAGCCGCCGGGGCAGCTCCCGCTCCGCCCGAGCCCTGAGGGAAGCGGGGCCCAAACACCGGGGCCGGGTGCGAGGAACGCGCGGGCCGGGGCCAGGCCGCGCTCCCGCCGCGCGCATGCGCAGCAAGGCGCACGGAGCCGGGGCCCTTCCGCACGGAACATCGCGTTCCGCGGGTTCACGGGCAGGAAGTGCAGGCGTCTCCCCCCGCTCGCCTCTTCCCGCCTTGGGGCTGCCGCAGTTCCTTGCCCCTAACTTCTATCATTTTCTGCCGTGCCCCCTGAGGGTCATTTCAGCCCCGTGGTGCAGGCCGCCTATGTTCTACCCAATAACAAGCCGGCTCTCGATGACGTCTTTAGTTGCCAGGTAGAATTCCCCTACGCCGCTCCCGTACCGCCGCAGCGCCACCGGGAGGGGCGGGGCGTCTGCTTTGATTGACAGCACGGCTAGTGGGCGGGGAGAAACGAGAGAACCAGTAATAACTGTGGATGGCCTTGATGAGCGGGGCTCGCAGCCAATGGGGATGGGCGGGTGGTCTCTCGGTTGCCAGGGCCACGCGGTTGCCAAGGCCTCGGTTGGGCGCGGTGGCTGCCCCGCCGCCGCCGCCTGCCCCGGCCCGCGCGATGGTGAAGCTCGCTGCCAAGTGCCTGCTGGCAGGTGAGTGTGGCCCGCCCGCTCCCATCCGCCCCGCTGCCCACACGGGAGTAGAGCGGGCGCCGTGGGGTCGGGCGAGGCCGGCAGCGCAGGCGGCCCGGCTTCCCACAGCCCCTCGTGGAGGGCCGCCCCGCCGGAGAAGAGGTGGGGAAAGAGGCGATGGGAGAGGAGGGAAGACCTCGGCTGCCTGGGGACGGGAACAGTGGGAGTCGTGTGTGTTACTAGCACGCGGTACCCGCCCCCGCCTGCCACGTGGAGTCGAGCAGCGCCCAGCGAGGCTGGGAGGTGTGCTTGGATCGGCTGAAATCCAAGGACAGGATCTGAAAAAGAGGAAAAAAAAAACCCAAACCAAAAAAAGAGTACTTCTGCAGCGTGGAAAGGTGGGCGCAGAGATTGGAGAAGGCGTGAAAGGAGCAGGGTGGGCAGCTGAGTCCTGCCTCATTTGGAGTCTTGCTTTGGGCTGACCTGAAAACTTCTTGTCAGAAATGAGGATGATTCTGAGAGTATGATAGAAAGGTAAAGCCTAAACAAAGAGTAGAAGGATGAGCACTTCACAGTGGCATCTTTTTCCCCAAACAATTTAGAGGCTAACCTGAGAAAAAAATGAGGTGAAGACACCAGTTTATCTAGTCAGGATGGATTATGGAGATGTTGTAAGTGAGTACAGCTGGCTGTTAACACTTTGTGAAAAAACTTTTAATTTTTTCTCCTCCCTCTACATTGAAGCTCTGTGCAGCCTCAGCCTAAAGCACAAATCCATCAAATCTTTGTGTGCAGTCAACTCCCAGGTTTAATTTTTGTTTCAAAATATTTCATCCAGAATAAAATGTTTGCCTTTTGACCTCAGAAGTAGCTGACCATCAACTCACACAAAGCCAGATGTGGTCTTTGGCAAAGGCAACAGAATTGATCTCCTTTGTGGCTCTACTGCTGTGAACCAACCATCTTGTCTGACATCTACACTTGAAACGTAGGCATCATTTCCAGTTTGGAAGTTTCCTGCTCACAATATACTGGCTTTGCTGAAGTCTATCCAGTTTTGTTGTTTAGTGTTACCAAAGGCCAATTCCATGACCATTTAAAAATCACATAGGTTTTCTTTAGATGACTTGTTTATGTCCTTATTGGTTCTGGAGTGGTCTGTTCAATTCTGTTCACAGCACAAAGAACAGGAATGTCCTGTCCTATGTGTCATTCCCCTATGTGCTACAGTAATATCCATGTATTATTAAAAATAATAAATTAATTAAGCAGACCTAATCTATTAGGCAAAATAGATTCTCTGTTGCAGAAAAAAAAAACCTGTAGTGAAAGGGACCTAAGATATAGGTAACCACAACAACCTAAAGGGAACAAGAAAATACAAATACATAGATAGGAACAAACCCATCAGAAATGGAACTGGGAGCTCTTGTGGACCTAAGGAGATGGTTATGAAGAGCCAGTGACACAGAACTGGGAGCTACACCAAGGTCAAAGAGAACAGGGGAAAAGGGCTCTTGTTAGCAAAACAGAGACTGTTGAACTGACAATAGAAGATGATTCCTGTGTTATCTCAAGGGTCATTTACAGGCACAAAGTAAAAAAATCTGTTGTCTGAGCTTACTATGGAGACACTACACAAAGGTTTTCATTGTAGAGAGACAGCTGGCAGTAGCAGGCATTTTTGAAAGACTCTGCAGATTCTGGCAGAATAACTGAAATATGGATAGGATATATACTGTGAGATGCACTACTGGCACATGAGACTAAACTGAAAACGGCAAGGAAATTTACTTTGAGGAAGTGTACTGGTGTGATGGGCTAAAGAGGATGGCAAAGAATAAAAAGAGGGAAAGAACACCTGGGGCTGTCAAGTGAAAGAAAGGCGATGCATTAGTTAAGAATTTGTGCTGGCTGATGCCTGCACAGTTTGGAGCAATGTGTGCCTCTCTATCTCATTTTACAAAGACAGATCTAATTGTCTATTGAAATACAGAATAGCTTCCACTCAGAACAGAGTGTTGTCTTCCGCACAGGCTTGAACTGATCAGAGAACAAACAAGCTGACTTACCAGATTTTCCTGTCTAAATATTGTGAGCCCAACTCAGCTCAAAGTAAGCAAGCATGCTAAAAATGTTTAAACAAGAACTACATTTGGTTAATGCATCCAGGGGTAATTGTCACTATCCAAAACACCCTTCCTGCACTGTAATAGTATATGAGCAGAGAGCTTTACCAATTTCCTTCAAAACACCATTAGGAAGCTGTAATGGAGTCAAAAATATACCCCTTTCTTGGTTTATTTATTAACAACTTAATGTAAAATACTTCCTTTCTGGCTTTATTTATTAACAACGTAATGTGAAAGACTTGTATTCCAGGCTCGGTTGTTTATGAGCGTGCCTTTGAGGGTAAAGCTTGAACCACTGAGGTATTTAATTACTGGCGCCTGTCCTGTTAACTATCCAGGCTAGCAAGACATTATGTGGAGAAATTATAAGCTCTTTGGAAGCATTAAGTCATTGTTTATAAAGGGCTATGATTTATCATCTTTTTCATGTAGTAATATGGGCATATGTGAGTTCTGCAGAGCCTGAGGAAATGGCCTGAAGTTGTGTCAGAGGAGGTTTAGGTTGGATATTAGAAAAAGGTTCTTCACCCACAGGGTGTTTGGGCTCTATAACACCTCCCCAGGGAAGTGGTCGCAGCACCAAGCCTGACAGAGTTGCATTTGGGCAATATTCTTGGTACATGGTGTGACTCTTGGGGATGGTCCTGTGCAGGGCCAGGAGTTGGACCCAGTGATCCTTGTGGGTCCCTTCCAACTCAGCATATTCTGTTCTGTGATCCTGTGATTGCTTTGGATCTCACAGTTTTGTAAGAGCAGGCCAAAGCAGGCACCTGTCAGGTTTGCCTGGAGTATTATGCAAGCCATATCAGAAAGCCTTGGCTGTAGAAGAGCAAAAACCAAAGCCCCTTGCTTTTCCCTCCATACAGGGATGAGTCAGCAGGCTCTTCTCTCCAGCCATGTGCTTTCTCTCTGACGTTTGCTTCTGTTATGCCCAGGATGCCACTAATGAGCCACCAGCAGCTTTGAGTCAGCAAGAGTTGCTCTCTTAGCAGGGTCAGCAAGAAGAGTTTGTTGAGGAATGTTACCAGCTTAAGCAGCTTTGTCTCAGTATATAACAAGGATTTGAGTCTGGGAAGATGGATAACCTAAGGAGAAGAAGCTCCTAGGAAGCCCAGTCCCTTTTCACATTGCAATTTTCTCTACATGATAACATATCCACGAAATTTTAATCTTAGGTAAGGGCTTTAGAATGAATTTTAGAACAAACAGCAATTCAAGCCTAATCTGGCAGTCCTTTGCTGTTGTGCATAGTTCAGAAATCATGTCAGCCACCAGTATGCATAATGGCAATATTCATTTCCTTATGTGGGTATTACCTTTTAGATGGTTTTGTGCTTCATGTGACAGTTAAATTGCCTGTATTCAGAGTTAGAGCATCCGGGCTCTTACAACATATGATAGTATCAGAACTGAGAAAATATAAGATTCTCTAGTATGAAACAAAAATATTTTATGCTTTTGGTTTTGCAGGAGATCCAGCTGTGGGTAAGAGTGCTTTAGCCCAGATGTTTCGCAGTGATGGGGCTCATTTTCAGAAGAACTACACACTGGTAAGCATACAACAGGCTCAGACCACTGTCTAAATTTTTTCTAAGATGAGTAGGAAAACTGAGAGGCCTAGAACAAAATAAATATGATTTTAAGTTGAGGCATTCAAGGTGGGATCTTAGAGGGTTTTCTTTCTTGCACCCTAGATTCTGAAGAGAAAGCATTTAACATTCTGTAAGTGTGCATTATGTAGGTGCTGGTGTTGAAACTTAAGGCAGAATAATTTAGTTAATCTTGTGATGTTCCTACTGAACCAATGTTTTCACAAGGTTTTGTGGTGTTAGAGAACTCCCGCCTTTAGGGACTACTCTATGAAAAAGCACTGCTGAAGGAGAAAGCTTTTAATTCCAACTATTAAATGTGGATGTGGACAGTGCGCTTATCACTGTGCAAACACCAAGATGTGCTGCATAGCCCCAAGATAATTATAATCTGCAGAAACTGTTCCCAGATGAAGAGGATACAGTTTGCAGTCTTTCAGTGTAAGAATCAATGGTGATGACTAATCAGAAGCAGGATAAAAATAAAAGTAAATATAAGTAAAGTAAAAAAAGGAAAATATGATTGTGGAGAAAAAAACCCCTAAAATATGTTTATTCATTGAAATAAAGATGGAAACGAGAATTTAAGGATAGAAATAGAACAAACAAATGAGCTACAAAGCAGAATGAGATAAAAGGTGGAAGAAGCACAAATAATCTCAGTCCCATATGTTAGCTCATCACATGGTTAGTGCAAAACGTTCTAAGGCATGTGTTAGAGCAGCAGCGTGAGAGTGAACGTAGACCTGCAGACTTCAGCTAATACTCTGAGCTGTATATAAGCAAATCTCTTTGGTTCTCCTCCTTTTTCCCCCAGCTGAGCAAATCTATGAGTCTTTGACATATTGGTAAGATTAGGTTACCAGAGCTAGGAGGAGTATTGCTGAGTTTCCAGCGGTCTGTGTTTGATGAAATTGTAATGATTCACAAGAATTGCCTCAATCCAATGCACGGTTGGTATGCAGATGGACAGGCTCTTAAAAACTCTCCTGATCCTCATTTTCCTGATTCTTCTTGACAGACAGCGGGCATAGAACTGTTGGTGAAAGCTGTATCAGTTCCAGAGACAAGTGATAGTGTGGTGAGTTTTTCTGTGACATAAATTGGGTCAAAAAGAGACACCCAGAGCTCAAGCCCCACATGAGTCTCATTCTGGTGGAAGATCACTATTCATGTTCATAGAACGATTAAGTTGCATTAAGGAAATGAGGCTGATCATGTATAACTGCTGATACTCCAGGGTTAGTTTAGTCTTAAAAATATAATTTTCATATATTTGTATCCAACACATTTTAAACCAAAGTTATTGCCAGCTTTGTTGAGAATCTGTTCTGTCCTTTAGGGCACTCAGGTTTAGTTCGTGGTTCTTGGATCTACAGAAGCCAAAGCTCATCTGTTATTTCTCCTTAATGCCCTATACTCCCATTAATGGAATATATAAAATTTGGTATAGATAGTAGAGGTTACTGTCCCACTCCACATATTCTCTTTACAGTAGGGATGGAAACTAGGCTTGAGGCCTTGGAAGTAACACTTTTACTGCTTATACTTGAAAAATGGCTACTTATTTTCTCATATTATCTGGAGTTTTCTCAGTGCAGGGAGTTTGGGACATGACACTGCTGTACTGAATAAAATGTTGGAGTTACAAGTTGCAGTATTTACTTCCAAAACCTTTCCCTGCACTGCATTTTTCTTGGCAAGAGCCTTCTTTTTGTTTCCGCTTTCAGGAATTCTTCATTTTTGACTCTGCAGGGAAAGATCTATTTTCTGAAATGCTGGAGAAACTGGTAAGTCTTATGTAACAGTCCTCTTCTTCCAAAGAAGTGCTTTTGCTTTGAAGATCTGAGCTCCCCAGTCTGGCAGATGTAGCAAACTTTGTCTTTAGTGTAAATGGGAGCAATTACCTCAGTTGCCAACGCATCCTGTTCTACCTCTCTAAAACTTGTGTAAGTACTAGAAGAAATACTTTCCAGAGAAAGGAAAGCAGATAGGCAGTTTTCTTACAAAAGAAATCGGAAACTTTAACTGAGAATTTCTGTGTACTGTTGTTTAAAGTTTTTTTTTTTTATTTCTTAGAAAAACATCTGTTTTGCTGCAACTTCAACAGTGAGAGGTTTTTTTTTGTGTTACAGTGATGTGTTTGATCCAACAGGATTCATTCTTGTCCTTGAGCATAATCCTGCCCTTGGGTTTTTTCCTTCAAATATTTGTGACCTTCCCTGTACAGTTCTCTACTGTGTTATCTCATTTTGAGAAGCAGAATCAGTTAATTGATATAAGCTTTCATAAGATGGCTACGTCAGCCTAATGGTTCATAGTCTACAAAAGCAATTCCACTTTTACACTTGCACTAGATCTGGTTTGCAAGGGTCTTCTGTAGAAGCTGGCTCAGCTTCTTGAACTGGAAGAAAACCTTTCTACTTTTTTCCTAGGATTAATTTTGTGCTGATTCAACATGAAAAATCAGCTTCCCTGGGGATCAGATGAGTGCCAGAGCTGATACAAGTAAAGGGGCAGGGCTGCACAAGCAGGACTAGGGAGGAAAGCAAAGACCACCTCTCCCAATGTCAGTGATTTAGTTGGGTCAATTGAAATGTGAAACCTTAGCCAGGGCATAAGATTCCTGGGTGTTAGGCTTTTTATTTTCATCCTAGCAGCTGTGTTTGCCACATTTACAGCCTGGCTGTTGACCGCATCAGTTTCATTAGAGCTGACAGTGTTCCTTTCTTGCTGTGCAGTGGGAGCAACCCAACGTCCTGTGCCTCGTGTATGATGTCACTAATGAGCAATCCTTCGACAACTGTAACAAATGGTTGGAGAAGCTGAGGGCTCAAGCAGTTGGGATGCACATCCCAGGTAAGAGTGGGTGTGATTCTTGTTATCTGCTCCCCTCTTGTATGACATCAGTTGTTTCTGCTGAGCTGTGGAATAGAGCACTTATTTTAAGTCAGGGGCAGACATGGCTTCTTCCAACTCCTTTGCTTTTATCAAAAAGCAGATAAGGCTTGAATATGTTTACTTTTTGGAATCTTTTTTAGTTAGTTATAGACTATTCACCATGCCTACAACCTCTTCAGTTACTTCTACAAATAGTGCAGTATTTATGGGTTACAAGTCAGCATTGATGAGCTGGGGTTTTTTTTTTTCCTTTCATGTCTTTTTTTCTGTAGGTGTCTTAGTGGGGAATAAAACAGACCTAGCTGATCGTCGAGTTGTGGAGCAGGAACAAGCACAGGAGTGGGCTGAGAAACATGGCCTGGAATACTGTGAGATGTCAGTGGTGAGTATCTGCTCCTTTCACCATCTGTTCAAGGGGGTGCTTGTAAAGTTGTCTTTCAGGCAGAGAAAGATAACTGGGGACTCTCTTCACCTTGTTTGTCATCTAACTCAGTTTTAATCCTTCTTTGGTGAAACAGAGCAGAAATAGTAAAATGCTTATTCCATCTGCAATTGACAACTTTCTTGTTTCTTTGCAGAAGGAAATGAAAAATTTTGAGGCCCCTTTCCACATCCTGGCAAAGTTATTCCACCAACTGTACAAAGAGAAAGTGGAAACTTTTCACTCACTAGCCTGACTGGTATGATTTATTTATCCTCTAAGCTTCTTCTAGTACTGAGAATCCTGCTGGACTGAATACAGAGAGAAGAAAAAATATGAGCTATTTGCTACTTCATGGTCATCCTCTGGTAATTCAAAATAAACTAGAAATAGGCAAGTAGAAAGACACTCTTCTGAAGCTGCTACCTCAGCATTCCTTTCATGTCCTCTAGCTTGGTTCTCTGCTCATTGAAAGTCTGCTAGGTTGGGGGAGGCGGAGAGTAAAAGGGGAGGACAGAATGGAAATTGCCAGCTCTTTGCTTTAGTATCTTTTTGTCTGAACAGACTTCCTGCTGCTACAAGCAGGGATTTAGAGGTTTGGAAAAGGAGAGAGGAAGCTGACAGGATGTTTTTCGACTTAAACCAGCCTTGGTACATACACTGCAGGTCAGGACCGATTTGGCCCTACCTCTTGAAAAGCATTTTCAGGAGGAGGCTTATTGCCTTAAAATCAACACCTGGAGATGAGGTGTGTGGAGGCAGAGATGGATTTAGGTGTGTTTCCAGGAGCGCCCAGAGCTGGACGCCAGTTTTAAGTGTTGCCTTTATCAGCTGTAGGATTGATATGCTGGTGACTAATGCATGTTTCTAATTTCCAGAATCTGTTTCTTTCCTTCGGCCTGGCTCACTGTCCCTGCCTGGTGGGAGCTGTGTCGCGTCCAACCGCTGTCACTTGGTGACGCAGTGCCCTCTGCTGGTCCCAGGTCACAGGAGTTCTCCAGAGGCTGCCACCTCCCTTGAAGTGAGCAGGAAGGGCTTCCTGCAGGCACATCCAAATTGGCTTAGCTGCAAAATGGAGTGAAATTGCAAGAATACCTTTTCTATTCTAAAGATTAATCTAAAACTTACCAAAAAAATTACCTTTTCTTCTTCATGTCTTTATCATCTTACATATTGTTGTGTCATTTTCGTCAGCTGAATTTGGCAATACCGTTCTGATTAGGTTCAGTTCTCCATCTCAAAATCAGAGTCCTCTTATTAAAGTCTCTCTGCTTGTCATTGAATTTCAGATAAAAGACCACGGTTCTGATGTTGCTAGTGGAAACAGGACTAAGGAAATGAAAGACAGCCTGGCTAAGTTACTCTGACTCAGCTGTGTCTGGCTAGAAGTTTCGTATTAGAAAGGGTGAAAGCCTGGAGAGAGTTGCTCTATTGTGTGGAGTACTGATGTTCCATGTGTAAGACCCTTTGCTAATGCAGTATGCAAAAGCATCTGTGGTAAGGTGCTGCCTTGTAACTGAGCCTAACACCAAGAATTTCAAAAATTTAACCATTATCTACCCAATTATGGTAGACTCCCTTGGGCAAGGGAAGCTGAGTTTTGTAGAGACTGAGCACTGCATTTTTCAGGCAGTCTTTTCAGGAATCTGTGTTTCAGGACTTCTATACATGTGGTTTATAATCATTTTTATGCCCAGTGCTAGGAAAAGTACATTAAATTGAACGTAAGAAATATGGCTGCAGATGTTGTAGCAGCCTTTATGAAGCACTTCAAGAATCTGGAGAAGCACTGGCCTCATTTCACTGGCAACAGTGTGTTGATGCTGAGAACTCGCTAGGGAGCATGAATACCAGTTAAAGAGGATGAGTAGGAGCTCAATCTATAAGAAGTAAAAACAAGAGGTTCTTTTGCTAAAAGCCAACTCAAAAATGACAGAACAAGCTGGGAAAGCTTCTGTTTTCTCCAAAGTAGGAAGGAGTCCTCTATGGACTTAGGGTAACTAGAAGGCTCACTCTTTTTTAACCCAATTAGCATTACTGGCATTTATATCTTGCGTGGGTTGTCTTGTTAATCCTGGGTGTTTTCTGTTGATTTACATAGGCCGCATACACGCTTGCAGGTGCTGGTATCTACACCTTTTATTCTTACTCTGACTAGTAAGAATAAAAGCTATTTTGGATGCTGTGCTGATCCAGTTAAAGAACTAAAGAAGGGGTTTTTTTATTTGGTATCTCATTTCCCCTTGGTTCTATTGATGATGTGATCACAAAACAAGATACGTATTTTTTCATATTGAAAATAACATACCAGATGTATATGTCACCTGTGACATGGTGTATCTAGGGGGAAGAATGTCTTGGGAATAGGTAATAAAATGAATTCTGTGCAATCTTAAACCAGGGAGTCTATCTCTCTGCACCTGAAGGACCTCCCATAACTTCAAATAAACACTCTAAATGTGCCTGTAAGATGAAGATTGGTGAAGACTGTTTTATAAAATAAATGCAAAAGCTGGAGGAGCTCATTAAGGGAATGCTTGCAGTGGCGATTTGTGATTTATAGGGAAGCTGCTTTTGAGAAGTCAGTGAAGAAAAATGCAGCCCATGCAGAGAAAGATGTATTGCCTGAGAGAGGAAATGTATGATCTAATTAGCTAACAGTAGGGATTCACCCACTGCCCCTTTCCCTCTTCCACAGGCCACAACCACAATTAGAAAAGAAGTCATGTCTAAAGCACGTTGTCCAACTTGCTTTTTATAGGACTATTTCAGGCACTAGTATGGACACAGTTTAATGTCCTTCAAAATAGTGTGTTTGACCATAACAATCTCAACCCTTTCAAATATATTTTAACAGCATAATATATTGTCCTTCCTGGCTAATGTGCTGCATAATACCAGCCTGATGCAAGTGGTGGTTGTTGCTATTTTCCTGGCTTAATTGTGACCTTGGTTGTAGGGACTAGGAGTGAAGAGGGGGTAGAAAACATGGGAGCCAAACATGGGAAAGTTGTGGGAAATAGTTTTGTCTCTGTGAAGGAGTTCAGGGTGGTGAGTAAGTGAGCTGGACCAGCAGGATGAGTAAGAGTCTGGAGCCATTATTAAGTGTCTCCTACCTGTTTTCTAACTGTGGCAGTCACATCTGTAGAGTGAGGATGAGTATTTGCTGCTTATAGGCTTAGCATCAGTCTGAATTACAGATGCTGTGGAGAACAGTGGGAGGAAGACAGAAAGCCTGTCTGCTGACCAGGAAGCTTGTTGTCTTCTTACAGCTCCCCTGCTTTGTCCAGCTGTGCAGTGCTGCAGGTGCTCAGCATGAGTGTTACAACACAGGAAAGACCCAGCTCAACCAGAACTGAAATATCAAAAGAAGAGGAAAGAAACCAACAGGCCTTTAACTGGTTTTAATAGATAAATAGTCCTTTTTCCTGCTTGCTTGTTTGATTAGACAAAACCATTTCTTTCCTCCCTGGAGTCCCTCCTTACCTTTCCTTTGGTCCTCATGGGTCTGGACAGAATCTCTGTTATACTTGTGCCCTGCTTTACTAGCTTGATACATCACCAGCTGATTTTTTTTTATCCTTCTAATTTCTGCATTATCTATTCCCAAGGCTGCAAGACATTTCTTCTTAGATTAATAGACAAAAAGAAACAAAAGTGGAATTTTTAGTCAAATTGTCTTGAAATAAAATACCTTAAGAAGCTGTCTGACATTCTGAAATTCATTTATGTAAAGTTGTCATGTTAAAGATGCTTTAATGGTTTTGTTTTGTCTTGCCAGACATAGTCTACTGCGGAGTGAAATTCAGGATGTAAAATTCGAGAAAGATCAGGTTTTATTGTGGGAATTAATAGGAGTTTCAAAGCTGATCACACCGTGATAAGATCTGTTAAGTCTTAACAATGGAGTGGTCACTGCTGTTCATAATGAAGCATTAAATATACTGAAATGGGACTGTCAAAACAGTTTCTTCTAGAGATTTGTTCATTTTAAAGACTTTAAACCTAAGAAAGGGCATCTTTTAAAAGACTGATCTGATAAATGACACCATTTGGACTAGGGTTATTTCTGATATAACTTCAGTGACTTGAAGAGCTGGATTTAGTCTTTTATGCCAATTGACTCCCCTGGGTAAGCTTCATTTCTTTACCCACTATACATCTTGGACCAATCTGACCTGATAGCAAAAGACACATGATGTTGTTGAAAATGAAATACTGCCTTGGGGCAGAAGGATAAACTGTGTGGCCTCCTGAGGTCCTCCCAGCAATACTTTCTATAATTCTGTTAGATTAAGTGAGGAAAGAAGTAGCGTGGAAAGCACAAAACAGGCTAAGTCATAAACTAGCAATTAAACTGGGAGCTGGGCAGAAAACGTACAATCTATCCCAATTAAGAGCTGTATCTCAAGAGAAACTGGGAGCCTGACGCAGGTGCTGACAGCAGGGAAAACACTGCATTTCTCTTCTGGAGGCAGCAACTGCTTTTGCTGGTGCTTATGCAGATCTGTGGGGGTCCTTACGCAACTCAAGGCTGTGCTCTGTTTTTAATAGTTACTGTATCTCTGATGTTCAGGTGGCAGTTGCTTGCAGTTGTGGTCTCATCTGCCTACACAAAGTCAGCAGCACAATGTCAGATTATTTGCAAGTGGCAGGAAGACATCCCTATTATTGGCACCTGCGTGATGGGACGCCTCTCTCCCCTTGCATTCTCAGTCCTTTTCCTATCTCGCATCTGCTCCTTGGTGGACAATATCCACCTCTGCTTGCTCTTAACAAGTAATTTTTCCATCTTGCAGATGGTACTCTATGGAACCTAGGGCTGAGGGACTTCTCGGACCTTCTGCAGCAAAGGTGCAGTGAGAGCAGGAGCACTTCAAGGGCTATGTTGGCCTCCACAACATCTCTTTCAGCCTAGGGGCACATCATCTCTCTACTTGTGTCCTATTTCCTCCTCCTGCTGTCATTTTGCCTGGAGAACAATGTCTTCTGTGCCGGTTGCCCTTGGTTCTGTTGACCCAGAACAACAATGCTTGGGGGAGGGAGGAAGAAGAAAGTCTTGCATCTTTTCAGGGCTCTTCAGCTGTTGTGACTCCCTGTCGAAATCATCTGAGAGATGGGGATGTTGCTCAGTCTAGGGTGTCATTTCCTGGCAGGAGACTACCATCTGAGTCCTGGGAGCCTCATCTGGGCTCTTCAGAGCTTGCTGCAGTGTAACTTTGCCAGACACTGGCTGTTCTCCATCTGACCTGGGGTTTTGGTGGGAATTTTTGGTAGGGTTTTTTTACTCCTTGGAGATCTTTGGTTTATCTGTCATGGCTTCACGTATTTCCTCCCCTAGGGCTGTTTGTCAAGAGAAGCCTAGAATTGTTCCCTTTCCTGGTCTCTGAAATTTAATCTGGAAATGTTTAAACAGGAAATGTGACAGACCCTACGTGTCAAGCTGGGGTCAGGGATGGGGTCAGTTTGATGAGTTTCCCTCCAGCCAGATATACATCAATTGGAGAGATGTGGAGTCTGTGATCTTTCTGTACAAGTACTAGAAAAATAGCCAATATGAGGGCTGCCAGTTATGGACTGTGAGGAAAAGGATATAAATGCAGAAGTGACTGACTTTTGTGTCCCAGACAGGGGAAAATGCAGGAGCACTAAGGGAACAGGAATATGTAGGAAATATGTAGGTCTGTATTCCTTCATGAAGAACCCAAGGGATTTGCTGAGGCAGATTGGGAGGGTGGGATTTAGGGATGGGAAAACCTGAGGCTTTTCCTGTCTTTTAGAATGCTGTATGGAAGTAAAGTGGGAGGAAAAGTAATTTTTGCATGAGCCACTGAGGGAAAATGAGGATACAGGGTAGAGCTGGATGACTTTGCAGGTGGAAGGGCAAGTGGTAAGAATAAATAACTGAAAGGAGATTTTCAGGGCCAAGCTCTCAGGGCCAAGGGCAGACAGGGGGAATCAGAGCCATGATGAGGAAAGCCACTGGTAGCCCTCAGTTTAGGTTTAAGATGTAGGGCCTGCATTAGAACAAGGCAGGAAGAGTTAAAGTCTGTGTGACAGGGTTGACACTGGAATTTGAAAGGGCAGTAGCAAGGATCCAGAATGATAAACCTAGGAGTAGTGTGGGG